ACTTCTAGTGTTGTTCCTAGCTTTTCTGTAATGAATTTCATAGTCCTTGGTTTTAGTCCTAGGTCCATGATCCACCTTGAGTTGGTTTTTGTGTTGTAGTCATTCTTAAAGCTTCAAGACCTTGGCTTTTTATAATGTCTTGGAAGTAGTAGATGCTTAGGTCATCAATTTTCAGCCTTTTCCCCCTTTTCTAAAATATGCATTTTAAGGCTCAAATTTCATTGTGACATAATTTAGAAGCATCCTTCAGAATTTTTTTCCATTGTAATCAGTTAAAAAATCTTTTTTGATTTTTTTCTTTGACTAATAAGTTACTTAAAAGAATATTTTGAATTATTTACTTTAGAAAGTTTTTGATGTTAAAAATAAATGGTATAATAAATTGCAAGTACTTGGCACGAGCTTGAACATTTATCATGGAAGGCCCTACTTGCTGCTGTCCTCATTTCCTGCTAGATTGTATTAAAGCAAATCCCAGACATCTGCTCATATGTACAAATGATTTCATATGTTGTTTAAGAAAGAAGACTTTAATTTTTTTTTTGTTGGTGGTGGTACCGTCAAGTTGGATCTGACTGGCACATGAGGAGATTGCCCCTCCTTCTCCAGCGGAGCATCTGGTGGCTAAGACTTTACTTTTTTTTTTAATTTTTTTTTCTTATTAATTTCAGAGAACATCTGTAGAGATTTTGGACTTCCATTCATTCATTGTTGAAGACTTGACATTTCTAAATATTTAAATTATAATCACCATCGAATGCCCTGTCAGTTTTCCTTAGTTGATTCAGAAATGTTTTTATTCAGTTGATTTGTTCAAATTATGATACAAAACAAAGTCTCCATATTACATTTGGTAGTCTATTTTAATAGATATTAACATCCATCTAACCTATAGACAAAGTCAGATTTTTGCCACTTCCCCCCATAATGTCCTGACAGCATAAGAACATTCTGGTTCACATGTTACATTTAGCAGTTAACTCTCTAGCCTTTTAACTTAAAAATCTCTTTCTTGATCTTGCATGAAATTGACATTTTTAAA